AAAAAAAAAAAAAAAAAAAAAAAAAAACGGATAAATTGAAACTTAATGAATTACAATGAATTTCAAACTTTGCCAACGTAATCGCGATATTCGGGGCTTCATCACGAAGTTTAGAAATTGCATCGGGCGTTCATGAAGTTTTAACTTTCTGCGAGGAAAAAAAAAAAAGAATCAACTACTCGATCGTTTTTTTTTCTATTCTTTCGGCGTTGTATCGCCGGAACAAGTCGTTTGGAAATGGCCAAACATCCTTTTACACCCTCGGGACGGCGGTCGGCAAGTTCGTCTCCCCCGAGTTTCGAATTTTCGAGCACGAAAAACACGTACGTAGGTGTGTGTGTGTGTGTGCACGTGGCGCGCGGAGAATAGCGCACGTTTTGTACGTGCATGCATATACACGGCGTGGAACTGCACACCGGATGACCAAAGGCATTTCGACCGTGTACGCTGGCTGACGACAGGAACTCGATATAAGCGGCGCCAGCTGCGAAGGGTCTCGGCAACTGCCGCGCGCCGAAACTCCATTATCCTTAATTATAATCGCGTTTAATCGCAAACTCATCCAGCTCCCTTCCATATGTGCGCCCAGCTACGCGTCGCTACTCCCTTAACTCGCTCCCCCCCTTCCCATCTCGTCGAATCACCAACCCCTTGCTTATCAATTCGGAATCAACTCGGTGTGCACCCTTACTTTCCCTTCCCCGTCGTTGGCTGAGCCAAACGGATAATCTGTCGTGACAGGTTTCTTCCTACTTGCCGAAACGGTTGTGTGTTGTACATCACGTTACGGTGATGTAGGTGAGGCCACGCGGGTGAGCTTGACAGGTGACGATTCTCGAAGAGATGAAGGACGGTTTTTGTTTTACGGACATTTGATTGAAGTATGTTTTACTCGACCAGGCCAGACTCCCGTTAAAGCGGAATCAATTTTAGCCTCGCTAGTACCAGTAATAACGGACAATGATTAGTAGCAATATCAGACAATGATTTTCAATTGGGATTCTCATGTTAATGTTGGCAAAATAATTTGGTAATCAGAGGTTGGTAGTTTTCCTCTCTTTCTCTCTCTCTCTTTTTTTTTTTTACTAATAATTAGTAGTAGATTTTCAACTAGGATTTTCATCTTGGGATTGTTAAAATAATTTAGAAATCAGAGATTAGTAGTCATTTGCTAATAATTAGAGATTAGTAGTCATTTACTTGGGTTAGAAATCAGATGTTAATAGTTATTTGCTAATAATTAGAGATTAGTAGTCATGTACTAATAATTGGAAACAGATTTTCAATTAGGGTTTTCATTTTAAAATTTAGAAATCAGACGTTAGTAGTCATTTTTTTTTTTTTTACTAATAATTAAAAGTAGATTTTCAATTAGGATTTTCATCTTGGAATTGTTAAAATAATTTAGAAATCAGAGATTAGTAGTCATTTACTGGTAATTAGAGATTAGTAGTCATTTACTTGGGTTAGAAATCAGAGATTAGTAATCATTTATTAATAATTAGAGATTAGTGGTCATTAAGTTAGGTTAGAAATCAGCGATTAGTAGTCATTTACTAATAATTAAAAACAGAGTTACTAGTAATTAGAGATTAGTAGTCATTTGTTAATAATTAGAAATTAGTAGTCATTTACTTGGGTTAGAAATCAGATGTTAATAGTCATTTGCTAATAATTAGAGATTAGTAGTCATTTACTTGGGTTGGAAATCAGAGATTAGTAGTCGTTTACTAATAATTAGAGATTAGTAGTCATTTACTAATAATTGGAAACAGATTTTCAATTAGGGTTTTCATTTTAAAATTTAGAAATCAGACGTTAGTAGTCTTTTTTTTTTTTACTAATAATTAGAAGTAGATTCTCAATTAGGATTTTCATGTTGAAATTGGCAAAATAATTTAGAAATCAGACATTGTTAGTCATTTACTAATAATCAGAGA